CGCCCCTTTCACTCCCACTGTCACCCTCTATACCTTCCCGCAACACCCCTCCCCCTTTCTTTTTTTCTGACCCCCCCCACACATACATACAGTCCCACTCAAATCCTGTTTCTAGTAGTCTTACCTGGATTTCTTTTCACTTGAACGCTTGGTGAGTCTGGAAAAAGTGGAAAAAATAATATTACTCAAAACACAGGACGTACTTCTCATCGTTTGGAAAGAAAGAAGTGGTAGAGAATAAATATGTCTGTAGACAATACATGAGTAGGTAAATACAATCATATGTGAATGTGTTTTTGGAGCATAACTTTATGTTTATTATACTAAAAATCAACCCCATTCAGTACCACCGGTATTGAAAGAGATAGACGTAGAAGAAAAATAATTGTACAAACAATACAAAGCATATTTAACCCAAATATTACTAGTATATATTTAGGTAGTTCTAAAGAAGGGAAAAACGTTTATAATTTTAGAATTAACCTTACTCTAACTACAACCATACCGAGGGATAACACAAGGAAAGATTGGCCGTACAGACAATAAACAGAAGAGGCTACTGCAAACACATGTAAACCTGTTTTTAAAGTATTAAGAGGCAGTTCTGAGAATTCTTTGATAATAACATTATAAAAGTACATGAATTCGTTTCTGGAGCACAAAGGTATGCTTGTGATAGTGAAATTATCCGGAAACATAATGATCAGCTGGTCATCCATAAGGAAGTGTTAAGGAACACAAGACAGATCCCAGTCAGAGATAAGGTTGGAAGAAGGCGGTGGCGATGGATTGGACATACTCTCGGGAAGTCAGGCAGCTGCACAATAAAAAAAGTGTTGGATTGGAATCCACAGTGTAAAAGATCAAGGGGAAGGTCGTGTGGAACCTGGAGAAGAATCACAGAAATTGATGTACAAAAAAGTGGGAGGACATGGAATAACATCAAGAGGCTAGCCTAGGATATGGAAAGATGGAAAGCGTTTGCTTGTGGCCTATACCCTGGTGCAGGGTGAGAAAGGCAATGGTGATGATGACAACAATCAGCATCCTGCTAGACAGCACTGAATGAGAATGAGTGTACAAATGATATTATAAACAGAGCCATCATAATCAACATGTGCCAGATCTGCAACACACATCGGCGATTATGGTTCTCATTCATTCCTTTGCTCTGTAGCCCGCAAAAAGCTATTTTCCTGGTCTTTCTCCGTCATCGATCTGTTTAGGCTCTCCAAAGTTTGATGCTCAAGGTTTTTATGTTTATTCAGGTTATATATATAATATTTACATAGTAAGTATATTTTTGAAAGTATTTCTAAAGCACAGCAGGATGAAACACTCCATGCTAAAATAACGTGACTTGCAACACAATTAATGATGCCAAATAATAGACAGGTGCTGTGCGTGCTGTCTAAATGCATGTTACATTGGTTTTAGTGTACCACAAAGCAGGTAACGATCTAAGTAAGGTCTCTTTTAAATATTAGTTTGACATGTTTTCTTCCGTATGTGGGGTCATGGCTGCACTCATATTGCCATAAGGAGAGTAAAGACCCCGGATGTAGGTAATAGGTTAAGTAGGTTCTGAGTGGATGCCTTAACAAGATATTCATTAACAAACGGAAGAGAACCTTTATGATCCGGGAAGGTCAAGTAGACAAAGGCTATGAGTAAATACTGTGCCAGTTAACTGTCTAAAGAGTTCTGCTGCTGTGAAGAAGGTCTGAACAATATCAAGCTATGCCACCAGTCTAAGTTATTTAAAAACAAGCAGCCTCCCACCCACACTCCCGCTAAAAATAATCTAAAAACCCGAAAAAGAAGCAATCAAACAACCCCTCCACCCTCCCCCAACTCAAAACACATACACACACATACACACGCACACAGACACACACACACACACGCACACACACAACATATACACATACACAAACACAAACACACATATTTACACCTTAGAACAACTGAATGAAAAAATGGCTCATCATCATCATCATCAGCTTAGACAGACATCGGCGATCGTGGTTCTCCATTCATTCCTTTGCTCGGATGCTCAAAAGGGTATACGCCGCGGATAAATGTAAAGAATTAAAGTAAGCTCGGATCCTCTTAAAAAAGCTATGTTTCCCTACTCTTTCTATGTTACCCAAGTTTTGCTTTGGTTTCCTAAGTAGATTATGGCTTAAACAAAGAAAAAAAAACAACAACATATTTATTCCATGATTTAGATGTTGACCAATACGAGGAGTTGGGGAGAAATGGCACATAACGGTGTCAATGTATTGCAGTTTTAGAACTAGAGAATTCGATCACGTTACAATTATGGCCAAAGACAGAATAATTTAGGTCTTTTTAGGTCACTCGACAGTAGCCTACAGGAGTAAATCAACGAGTTAAAATATCAGATTTCGAGCACAGCTCCAAGTCATTTCTTTGAAGTCGACATTATATCCGCCCCTGTTTTCCACTTGACGTGTCAAACTAGTATAATTTGTGTAAAGAATAATTCAGGTTACGGGTTTCCAATAGCTGGACATATGTGAGGGAGCGGGGTGAAATCAAGCGCTCGACAAAACAATGAAATCAACGAAAAAGGCATGTTTTCTGGGTGTTGGACATTTTTTTTTCGAATGTACTTTTTCTTTGGTTCAACATTTTTTTGTCCCTTTTAAAAAAGCAATCCTGAAGGAATGTTACTAAAAAACGTTCCTTAAAAGCATAAAATATAGATTTCGAGTTTCCAAGCACACTCAAACTTTGAAAATCACCAAACTAAACTTTGGCGACTATTATCTCGCTACTTTTACTTCTGAAACCAGGCAATCCAATCTTTTTCAATCCTTTACCGACATATATATAGACAAATGGCCAAGCTTTAAGATGATACCAATAGCTCCACGTGACAAAACATTGATGAGCGCCTGATTCCACCTCGTCGAGACACATTTTGACTCCGGAAAGTCGTACCAAAAAGGGACAATGACATGAACTTAATTACAACCTGGACGGTCGATCGCAGATCAGGTTTCAGTGTAATCTGATGTTGAACGACCTGATTTTCAACTTTGTATTATTAATGTGTTTCTGTGGTGGTCTAACTTTGCAGACGTCTACTCAGTATCAATATACGGTAAAGTATGTTTGTGTCACAACGCGTTGGAATCGCGCGCTCGCCAATGTTCGGGCATCTGGAAAAAATGACGAATTATAATACTAACGTCTCTTTATTTGTCCAGCTTTGTACGACAAAAAAAGGTCAAATATCACAAACTGAAGTCGACCTTGCTTTTAGCGTAATTGTGTGTTTATGGATTTCCGTGTAAGTTACTGGTACATGATCTAGATGTTTGCCTGACAGCCAATGTATTGTTTATCTTAGTGATGTTTGGATTTCCAAGCCGTATAATGAGCTCCACATTTTTCGTTTTCAATTAACGGCACAGAGAAATTAAGAGATGCCTGCTCTTCCAAATTTGGGGCTATCATTGAATAACACAAGTTGACACAGCGCAGAGAAGTGAATCGACAAAAGTAACATTTAATCCGAACAATTTCCATGAATTTTAATAGTTATTTTTTTTCCTTTTCGCTTTGTTATGGCAACAAATTAATTCGTGTCTGGTGCTTTTGCAATGACCATGAGTAATGTGGAGTAATTTCCCCTTGCAGCCTCTAGAGATGAGCCGGATGCAGGAGCCCAGAGGGTCTATTAAGATCAAATAAAGTATTTACAGCATTCTCGGTTGCTCTACCGGGATGGGTAAAATAGAATTCTATGGGTGGGTGCCAGGAGTGGTCTGTAAAATAGTTTCGGCTGTCCCTACATCACAGAGATGTTAATTGCCTCTTCTATCTCCGACAGAGGCCTCCGATAGAGGGATAGGCTAGGATACGATAACAGTGTAAGTAATGTGTCCCTTACCCCCCCCCCTCCTCCCCCCTCCAACCCTTTCCATCCCCGTACACCTCACAACAGCTTTTTGATGATATTCTGAGGCTCAATATCGAAGTTCTTTTCCGTTTATATTCGCCGCTGAAGTACCTTCGTGTCATGTATTATCACCATTGGGCCTGAGAAAATGTCCAATAAATGCATATAAATATTTTGTTGTTGCAGCATTTTCGTTTTGAAAGATTTGTTTTTGATAGAAAAAATAATGAATAAGTTCAGAGATTTGGCAATGAAACAATAATGCCATTTACCAAGTGCTTAGAGAAAAATTGAATATTCTATAATCTGTTTATCATTATGACTGACGCCCGATCTTTTTGCTGTCCTTAAGCTGTTATTGATAAACTTATATAATAAAGACAGGTTCGCTGTTGTTTACAAAACCATTGCCTATCTCTTTGATCAAATATTTATTGCACCGATTCAGATATCACAGTCTCCATACCACACACACAGACACACACACACACACACACACACACACACACACACACACACACACACACACATACACACACACATATATACACACAAAGTCACACACACACAGGCACATGAAGACACACATACACACATGCATACACACACTTGCACACACATATACACACTCACAAAATCAAACACACACAAAGTTCATCTGAATATATTTTAAAAAGCTGTTCGAAGCTTTTTAACCCATTATTAACATCATTTATACATGTATCCATCTACTTCAAAGGCTTTGTTAAAGGGAATATTTATTCAAGTATCTCCGTCTGAGTGCTGGAACACTGTATCGTATCACACCCAACCCGGGCAGGTCCTGGAAGGAAGGGAAGCTGGACCCAGCTCACCTGGCCTAAATGTGCTTCATCGTGGTGAAATCAGGCGCTCGTCCAAATAATGAAATTTAAAAAACCGGCATTATCCATACATTTTAATTGAGTTTAAAAAATGACTTCACACTTTCTATTTCCATTCGAAAACACATTCTTGTATGAAATTTACTGAAAAACGTTGATCAAAGGCACAGGAAATGTTACATTTTCAGCTTCCAAGGACTCTCAAGCTATGGAAGTTGCAAAACTTTGGTTTCCATTTCATCGCTAAATTGAATTCTGAAACCAACGACCTAAATCTTCTTCGATGGCAAATATTTCGGCTTCCATTCGAGAGATGTGTTTAATTTTGATAAATTAGAAGCAGGACAATGAACAGGCTTTAAGGTGATACCAATAACTTTCATTTTCCTCAAGACTGATTGGCATTAACATTTTTAGAATTGAAAAGCAAAACAACCAAACAAGCTTTAACAGGATACTAATAACTTTACATGCCCAAGAACTGACGAGCACCGCGTCGAGACACATATGGTTTAAACCAGTGCATGTTAACCCCTTTTCAAAACAAGCGCTCACCTTTGCCACCGGCAACAGGATAAATTTTTCGTACCACACAAATACGTGTATTTCCAAACGGGGCAATAAAAAATTCCTATCAAATCAAAATCGACTACTAGTGGGTGGCATTGTCAGGTTGGCAGGTACTGTACTCAATTAATTGTGTTTGATGTGAGTGTAAACCACCTACAGCTGGTGTTTTGGACTAGCGGCTAGTGAGCAAATTGAGACCTGCAGGACGTTATTCTGCTACTCAAGGTTTAGTGTAAGTGCGGCCCTCCCTCAAGACAATTAACGTAGTTGAGCTAGCTATGCAGAAGTAAGCGCTGCCACATCTATAGCAACAAGGATTAGATCAGAGGAGTCTACCTTCTGAAGAATCATTCGTGCTTTGAATTACTTGAATTAACAAAGATTGAGACTGTAGTTTTTTTTAAAGTTTAGAAACCCTTTTTGTTCAAATACTTGATGCGGCCAAGGGTCACCCACACTCTATTTCCAGGGACACCGTAGTTTAAAAAAAAAGTTTAGAAACCCTTTTTGTTCAAATACTTGATGCGGCCCAGGGTCACCCCCACGTTATCTCCAGCGACACACGAGTAGTTTGTATTTGAGTCCTCTGAGTCCCCGGACTGCGGAGCGGGACGAACCAGGTTCGAATCCCAGACTCTGCGCTTATGAACTCGATTCATTTTTGCAGAGT